CCGCACATTGCGATATCGAATAAAAGCGAAACCACAAATTTTACTCGGTTGGAACAAAATATGCATTTAAACAAAATAAATAAAACTTTTTTTTTTTCTGTTCGCATAACTCAAACTGTTACAGTATAATAATTTGAAAATAATATAAATACTGTATCGTTATTATTTATCGTCTAATTTTTACGGGTGAGTGTCTGCTAACAGCCAATTACAGTCCATACACGTAAGAAAAAGTGCTTTTCCTTGTTACGATGAACTACGTTTTGGAACACCGTTTAACATATCAATTAAAATTAAAAGAAACGAAATCACTTTGTCAAATCCGCCAATTTTGAACACTGTTGACATGTAAGTATTGACTATAGTATTGCATTTAGATGATTATTTCTATAATTGTAAATTATTTAAGTACAACATAAAAACGGGATAAAAGCAATACTGAGCGGGGACGATCCTGTCATCCGATTAAAATTTATGTAAATAGCATATTTATTAATATATTAAATTCGTTTATTTTTATTAAAAGAAATTTTACGGTATAAAATATAATATGAATTGGTAATAAATAGCATACAATTAATCTAAATATTTGAAATTGTTCATTGTGAATATAGAATTCCAACTAAAACTGAATTAAAAAAAAAAAAAAAAAATGAATAAACCCATTATTTTTTTATTTAATTGTTTAAATATCGAATTTTGTATAATTTGAACTTCAAATGCTTATAAAAAAAAAATCGTACGTATGTATTTTTATACTTTTTAGTTATTTAAACAAAAACTCATATAGAATATTGTATTAAATTTTCAAACTTTTTTACCAGACGTCAAATTTTCATCAATGTACAAATATATATAAATAAATAAAAATTAATTTTGAATGTCTATAATTAACTCGAAAGAATCTATATATTTTTAAAATTGATTTATTTAAATTTTACTGGACCACGAATCACAAAGTTGCATTTCAGGGATATTTATATTCATAATCATTATCCATCAAAGTCAAAACAATGAAATTAAAATATTATGCTTTATTTATTGTTTTTTAGTCTTATTGTATTTGACTAAGCATATTCCTAAGGGCTTAGACATTTAACAGATAAGAATAAAATATCAGCTGATGTCCTGTTCTACCTACTATCTCTACTATTTTCACCTCTTTCACATTTTTTTTTTTTTTTTTTTTTTTTCATAATGATATAATATTTATTAAAATAGCTTAAATGTTGTTACTCATATATACCTACGAGTCGATTTCAGATAATCCATCTGAATTCAAATACTGGACTTGGGTTTACTTTATTCAAACTCCGCAAATGTATACGTCCATTGTAGTAATTTTTGTTAATAAACTCAAGCAACTTGAGAAATTCCGTCAAAACTTAACTAATATGAATGACTTATACTCTGATAAATGCATAACTGTAGATGATCCTGACTAACTAAACGCAATAAGAAATAACGGATTTACCGCTACTGCTATAAATTCGTCATCGACGTTCTAAAGTGCAACGACGGAAATAATTGAACCCACCTCTGCTCCTGTAACTACAAATTTATTATCAATTGAACCAGGGTCTACAACGCAGAACTCAAAAAGAACAGAGTACATCTCGACGTCGAAACTTTTTGAGGTCATATTTTTATTAAATTTTATTTTCATAAGCGTATTAATACTTTTTGGTCCTATAATAGGTAAAGTATTTTTATGTGGTAAGTCAATAAGAACAAATTTAATGTTCACAATAAAAATGTAAATATTTCTGTGTAAAGCATTTTATGGTATTTAATTCATAAACCAAGATGATTTTCTGTAATCCAGCGAGTGTTTGTTAAAATATTTTTGATATGTTTTAAATTATAACAATATTTATCCAGTATATAATTGATTTTATTTTAAACTATAGAGTAAAAAAAAAATCTTCTGTACAATATTAATTTAATAAATTATGTATCAAAATGTAATGATTTTTAAATATAGTTATTTAATTATTTGATTGAAAATTATAATTCGATATTTATTAATTGTATTAAATAGCATAAAGATTTTAAAATTTCAAACAAATAACAAACAAAATATTTTTCATTTTATTTTATTAAATATAAATTAAGATTATAATAAATATTAGATTAGGTATATAAAAATAATCTAAGTAAATAATGTTTGTTGAAATTTCAACTTAATCTATCTTACGGGCTGTGACTCAACAATAAGTTACCTAAAAACTATTATATCGTTATTTTTTTATTTTACTGATATAAGTCATAAATTAAAACCATTATAATCGTATTTATTTTACACATTTTCAATTCTTATAACAAAAATAATTTTTTTTTTTTTGGAAAAATAATCTCGTATCTAAAATTGTCGATTTAAACTACTCTTTGTGTATTCTATTAAACTATTTATATTTTCAATTAACCATAAAACCAAACATACAATTTTTCACTGTTAAAAATTACAAATCATCTATGGGACTAAAATATCTTCACTTTTATTTAAGTAACTTAAGTTCATGCAGATACCCCCATTGCCAAAATTGGTAACTTTGTCATTGAATATATTTCAAAAAGTCAATGTGTTTATTTCAATAATATATTATGTCGATGAATTAACTCGTTTTTGTGAAAATAGTTTAAGTAGTGATATCTCTTGGTTGTTTTAGTTTTATTATATATTTAATCAAACAATTAGTGAGATAAAATAATAAAGATATTAAGCAAAAATACATATAACACATAAAAACTAAAATATAAATCATACTACTAAAAAGTATTTATTATTACTCATACAGCAATTAAGATAATTCTGTTAAATTGAGACTATTGGTGTGTATGAAAGAATACAATTGGTAGGTGTGTATTTATGAAGATTTATTTACTTATAAAAATTTTAAAAGGCATACGTCATAAATTGTATTTTTATAATAATAATATTGTATATATAGATTATCGTCGTTCAACAAGGCAATACAAATATTTGAAGTCAACAAATATTATCGATTCTTTTGACTACTGTTATAATATTACGTGTTTCGTCATACGCAATAAAACAATATTATATAATTTATACAATACATTTTAAAAATTATGAAGATAAAATATTTTTATTTTTTCACTTTCCCGTAATCATGAGTTATTAAATTCTATTTGGTAAAATAATAATTGATCGGGTTTGTCGTACATGTATTATCAATAAAACTATTTATTGATAAATATTTATGTGGTAGATATTAAAATAATTAATACTGTTTAATTCAATAATTTATTATTTTATGATTATTGAACATAATTTAAGAAAACTATACGAGGTGATGCACAATCTCACATAATTATTAACGATTTAAGATAAAGCAGAAATAATCATAATAAAGGGGCTGTAATTATTAGGAAGATTTAGGAGTTAAAATCTATCAAATGTTCACATAAGTGTCTAAAATATATTAAATGGACAAAAAAAAAATATATTCAAAAATAATTAGAACATGTCATTTATAAGTTTTATTAATATAAAATATGTAAATAATATTAATATATATATATATATATATATATATATATTTATAGGTATGAATTAATAAAATATAGTGGACAACTGATTGGAGAAAGAAAAATATTTGTGTTGAATACTTAAATATGAAATACATAAAATACTTATGATACAAAAAAATAATATTACATTTGCATAAACATAAATAAAAATTTCAAAATCCATACTTGTTCTAAAAATAATTAAATAAGCGAAATTATGCGAAATTATATATTTTAAATTGTTGTTTTTAAATTTATCATTGTATTGAAATAAATTCTAGTTAGATTTTCTATAAATAAGAGCATACAATAAAAAAGAGCTGTTATTGGACGCTTGGTAGATGTGAAAAATTAAAATTGAAAGTATTTACAATTAAAGAAATAGACTAAATTTAATACAATTAAAATCGATAAGAAAGTTGGTATTTACTATGTAAACAAGCGGAGAACGTAATATTGATAGAAAACAACACACTATGTTATATCATATTATGATAATGGTACGTAGTTTAGCTGGGTACGTGGAGATAATTAGTCTGTTGGGTACCTACTTACTACTTGGGTATAAACGGTGTAGTTTGATAAAGGATTGGAGATTTACACCGATTTAATCATGAAACGCAATTAAAGAGTCTTAAATAATTTATTGCTACAAACTTAAGCAAGTCACAAAATATATACACGGTAATGTGGAAGTAAAAACGAAAAGTGACGTGTCAAACGACTTCAGCGGAAAAAGAACGGTGAATCGGTGAAGGCGGGAGCCGACAACGTTTGACTGACTTGGAGATAGATACAACTGTCGTTTGGTTACGTTGATAATATTTTAGCATTGGACTTTGGACCGTCACGGCATCGTTTCGCCAAGGCCCGTCAATAGATTTTTCACATCGAAACTTCCAAATCCTGCAACTTCTGAGCTCTAGCGGCTAGTGATAAGAATTTAATCGAGAACATTCACAATGGTACAATGGTACGTATAGATATGTTATGGAAATATTTACACATTATGTTTTGGTTAACTTGTATGACATTATCGTAGTCACAACACCTCTATGCATTATAAGCTTAACTTGAAAAACGTAATGACGCAAGGTCACAGATTTCCAACGTTTGTAGTTAACTGAACTTTTGTAGTGGATGTTCATGCAGTATTATAGGTACCTATTATGTAAATTAGTGTTATAGGTATTATGTAAATATTGAATAGTTTATTAAGTAGATGCCTCCCAGATGATCAAATATGTATTGTAAAAAAACCCATTTACAGGATTGTATTGCCTTTACGCATTCGTCATTATCACGATCACAATAAAACAATAATTTTACATTTTTTCGGTATGATGGCATTGTAATGACAAATGTATTGAAGTGTTCACACACGGTGATACATCGTGACGTAAAACATCGCCGAACGTTTCAATAGATAAGATTATAGCGAATTAATTGCAGGTACTAGTGTTATTTGAGCTATCGCTCGTATTTGCGCTGTGACACATAGCCAAATGGTCGTTTTTACTGTACAAAGCAACAGTTACACTTATTTATCTAAACACCGTGGTTGTTCGCTGCACACGATGTTGTGGGTGTTGATGGTTTGTATGGTATTTTCCTCCCTTGTCCGGAGTTCCGATGTCTCACAGATCGTGGATTCCGGGCGGTTACCTGGTGACACGGAACCGCGGTCGTACGTGTTGAGAATAGAACCGAACCTTGAAACAGAAAACGCTTCGTTCACCGGCAGAGTGGATATCACGATCAAAGTAAAAACCACTACTTCCGTGATCACGTTGAATTCTAAAGACTTGATGTTACATGAGATCAAGCTTAAAGACGAAAACACTGGCAGGAACATTAGAGTAATCTCGTGGAGTTACGCAAGAGAACAGGAACAAGTTATGATATCGGTTGATGGACACGTTTTGGGCAATAGAATATATACGATACGTATACTGTTTGAAGGTATTCTAAGAGACGATGGAACAGGGTTTTTCAAAAGCGCTTATGAAACCTATTCGGATGGAAAAAAGTAAGCTTAATAATTCAAAATAATTTTAATTTATTTAAGCACGTTCTTATTTTTCTATACCAATTTCTTATAACTAGATGGATATAAATATATTATAAACGCAGAACGAAAATTCATTGGTAAATCAATAATGCTCATTTTCATTTATTAAAATATAGTAATATGTTAAAATAAAACAATATTATTTTAATTTGAAAAATATATTATTGAATTAAGAAAGTTTATAGGTAAAATCAACAAATACTATCGGTAGAATTAATTATACATACAAACATTAATATAAGAAAGAAATAGTTGAATTTTGTTAATTTTATGCAACAAATCTAATTAATTTAATCAAATATTATATTGTACAAATTACAAAATATATTTTATCGAATTAATCATACTAATATTTATTATTAACAATATTATTATTAAATTCAAAATAATGTTGTTAAATATAAATCCTATAGTAAATATTAATATTATTATAAATATTAGTATTAAAAAAATGAGTTTGAGTATGATTTATCGCCTACAGCAGTGGCGTTTGTAAATCAAACTTATTTTTTTTTTGGAAGAGGAGAGGCGACAAGAGCAGATCCAAAAATTTTCCATGGGGACGCATAAACAGCAATAACAAGATCATCAAATAAAAAGAATATAAAAAAATGCTTTTTTTACATATTTTTTGGGAGGGGGAGGGGGTAGAAACCTCCATATTTATGTGATTTAAGGTTTCATAATACACGAATTGTAAAAATTTCATTGGTCAAACAATGTTTAATGTAATATTCGTTGCCACTCTAAAATGCTTTAAGTGCACGAGATTTGGCACTTTTTTCAATTCAAACGGTGGTCGATAGGTGTTAAAGTAGGTTTCCTAGAGTTAGTCAGGCAAACAGAAATAAGAACGATTCCCGCTCTGGCGGAAGTTCGGGCGGCGCTTATAGAATAACCATAGAGTTCAGATTTTTACATATTTATTTTGATTTTTGTAAATTCAACAATATACATACGTTAAATTCAAAATTGATTTGATAAAATTCTAAATTATTTTAACAAAATTTCAATAAAATATATTAGTTAAACTAAATAAAAAAAATTATTAAATTAAATAATTTGTTAATTTTTATTTTAAAACATATCTCATCTTAGGTTCAATGAAAATTTTATTGATCCAATATTAACAATGATATTATTCATATTTTAATCTATATATTTTTTTAAATTACCAGTATTTTTCGTTCAGTGAATAAAATGATATAAATAGCTATAATTTTAATGAAATATTTAAAAGAAAAGTTCGTATGCAGTCACATTTGAAAAAAAGCTTAAATATTTATCTCGAATTTGATCAAAAACATAAATTATTATTTTTAGTTTTTAATAATTCTACTAAAATTAATGATTATAACTTAATTAACAACAACAAATTTATTCATAAAATAATTTTAAAAAGGTTTTTGATATTGTAAGGTTGATAAAATAATATTAATATTTGCTACATTTTTTTTAATCATTTTTAAGATGGATAACTGCTACTCAATTTCTAGCCACGAAGGCCAGAAGTGCTTTTCCTTGTTACGATGAACCAAATTTTAAAACACCATTCAATATATCTATGAAAGTTAAATATGAAGAAATGGCTCTATCAAATATGCCAGCTTATAGTACCGTTTATATGTAAGTATCATATAAAATATATTACTATGGAATTGAAAATTTGAAAACAAATTACATTTAATTTAGACACATTGCATAGTATAATTATACAGCAAGAGTTAAAAATAAATATAAGTAATCTAAAATAAAAATAATTTATATATGATTTTCATTTTGTTAATTTAATCGAGAAACAAAATCATTAAGATTGGACGTTTCAAACAATAGCGTACTAAAAGGGGCTCATGTGTTTAATTCCCTTCTCATAAAAAGAAAAAATTTAAATATAAATAAAAATAATAATAAAATTAAAAATTGTGTTTATATTTATTATAATACTCTTCCCGCCAAAAACGAATTCTGCGTATAACACTCTCATAACGTGCATAGTGTATGTCAAATAGAACTCTAATCTTTGGCTTTGCTAAAAGCGATTAAAATTATAACCTTTATAATTTAAAAACAAACACTCTAAAATTCTGGATAAATTACTATTTATTTATTTATTTATTTATTGTTTAGGTATACAAAAATTATAAAAATAATTTTATGCATCTATTAACATTTTTGTTTTTATCTTTGTTTAATAGCAGCAATATTGTTATTGCTATGTTTTTAACCTAAACAGTTTATGATATTACAAATTATTGTATAGTACTTAAAGTATTAATTCGGTATTTTACTTGTAAATTACATTAAATTTTTGTTTTTATTAATAGAAATCAATAAAAAAAAATCTATATAAGTTTGTTTTAGAGTTTACTATTTACATACAACGTTATATGGCATTATAATAATTTATTTATACATGCCTACCTACAATATATGATAAGTATTTTAATGACAAACTTTTAAATCATATTAAATTATCTATATTACAGTGACGAGAAGCTTAAGAATGATTCAATTAAATATTACGGAAAGAAATGGGTTCATTTTGCGCAGACGCCGCGCATGTCCACGTGTTCGGTGGCGTTTTTCTCCGGTGAATTCGAACTATTCCGTAAAACTGGCCAGAAAATCAATGTGTACTCTCATTTGGGCCACTTGTATCAAATTGAGTACGTTACGAATGAAGCGCTTGGCCTTTTGGAGGCCATGGAAAATTACACAGGTATACCGTATGCCATGCCCGAACTGAACTTATTAGCCGTGCCGGTACTGGGCTTAGAGCAAGTCGACAGTTGGGGATTGACCACTTACCGGTAAGGATTTGCGAAAAATACGATATAATTATTTGCACTAAGAATTTCAATGCTGAACGTTAACGTGTCAAAATGTTTAAACTTTAAATTGAGGTAACTTAAAATAACTTTTATTCGAATATAATTTGTAAATTCTGATTCGAGTAATCAAAGACTAAACACCATACAGTTATAATTTTTATTTATGTTTTACTCGGGCAGTCTTCCGATATACTAGTTAATAATATTTGTGAATAATTTAGATTTTGAATAAAAATCTTTAGATCATATTAAAAAAAAATCTGAAATTTAAACTATGAACTATTTAATATATACTTAAAAATATCATATCGTAATTACATCATTGATAAATTTTACAAAAATTAACGTCTACATATCAATTAATGATTTAACTAAAAACTTATATAATTAAATATCAACTATATCTATGACTTGTTCAAATTTATAGTTTTTAATATTATCATTCGTAAAAACGGCACAATCGCCGAGGCTTAAGCAGATAAGCAGATAAGCAGAAAAAAAAACTATAATTGTACGAAAATAATAATTTGAGACATAATGTTTATAATATGTCTGATAGAGAAAAAACACTTTTCGTTGACCATAAATCGAATTCCAAGGCGATCGTGTCAGCGAAGATGGCGGTAGGACACGCTGTGGCGAGCCAGTGGTTTGGCAATTTGGTGACGCCGACTCGATGGGACTTTGCGTGGATGAATAAAGGGCTTGCTACTTATTTGCAATACATTATAACCGCAACGGTAATGTTCATGTTATACATAAATGTTGACTCAATTTTAGGATTGTCTCTATCATACACCCAGCTATTGTGTGTTTTATTAATAATATCATACATCGTCGTGTTGCGATAATAATTTTATCGTGAGTACTTTTACAGGTTGAACCGGAATGGCGACTTGAACACTTTTTCATCATTGACGAACAACGGTCTGCAATGGATTACGACCTAAATCAAACACAGCCTTTAACCACTCCAGGAATCATGCCAGCAGACATGGACTACAACTTGGCCGACACATTTTTTAAACAGAAAGCCGCGGCGGTTATGAGGATGCTCAACGATTGGGTGGGGGAAGAGACGTTTAAAAAAGCTATTAATGCTTACTTGACACGTAATCAGTAAGAATAATATATTTCCCAGATAATCGGAATTAAATGGTTATAATTTTAAAATATCTCAAAAACACTGTAAAAACGATAATATATTTTTCAAACTATTACCCAAAAGTCATGTTAAACCTTTCTATTCATGACCATTTTCGATGTGAAGTAATTTAATGAGTTGAGATCTCATCCGATAAAACTTCATGTTATAGACACACTGCAACGAAACCGGAACAATTGTGGAATGCGTTCGACAATACGCTATTCGATCAGACAAAATCCGGCTTAAACGGTAATAGCGTTCACACTGTGATGAATACGTGGACGGAAAAGATCGGATATCCCGTAGTGAACGTCCAGAAAAAAGACAAATCACTCGTCTTAACTCAAGTAAAATACCTAACTCAATAATCGCGATAAGCAATGAATGTTGGTTTTTTTTTAGCAACGATTTTCATCTGGTTTTACCAATTCAAATGATATGACCAAGTGGTTTATTCGTTTGAGTTACACGACGAATAAAGAAAAACACTTTGACGCTAAGTCCGCACCAAACGTTTGGCTGGATCCGTCGGTAAAAGAAACGATTATTTCGATCGACAATGACGTCGAATGGTACATTTTCAACATACAATCCACAGGTGGACTATTTTTTTTCATAAAAGATTTCCTCCTAGTCACTAACTAATAGTTTTTATAATTAATTTGTTTTGACTGTTGGTCAAATCATTGATAAATTGGACACATTATTATTATGTTATTCTAATGGGCATTTATTTTTGCGTTAGGGTTCTACAGAGTAAACTATACTGAAGAAAATTGGTTGTCGTTGATCAAACAGCTGAACGATTCACCTAAAGACATACACGTTCTCAACAGAGCTCAGTTGATTGATGATTCGTTCAGTTTGGCGAAAGCGGGTTTGCTGAATTACAAGATACCAATGAGCATTGCAAATTATCTAAAAAAGGAAGATGACATCATACCATGGTTCTCAGCTATGAAAAACTTTGACTATGTTATAAACCGTATGAAACGTTGTAGAAATGCGTTCGTTGATGTCAAGGTCAGTATCGCCGTAAAATGACGTTTACTCGCATTAATATAAAATAATAATGTCTAATCCCATTGTCGTCACTTTTAATTGTTACCACGATTAACAAAGTATATATAGATACAGTGCGAGTAGTAAAAAATTGTTCTTTAGGTACTTTATTAGATTAATGTTTAGTAGTTTTGTGTAGTGTAAAATTGATGTGTGCCTATCTAATGAACGTTACGATTTTTTTATATAATATATATTTCCTATTCAGTTTAGAATAATTATTAATAAACTATTACAATATGAATACGCTCAATTTCGTAACCGTATTATTTACAATCTGCTATTATATATTATACTAAATAATAACTATTTTATGTCTATACAGGTTTTGAACGTTAGATATAGGTACACTGTGATGAAAAAGTGACTAGCTCAGTTTTATATGTTATATGTTTTAATTTTTCAATATAATAAGCCATAATACAACGGTGACCATTCGATTTGTAAAAAAATTTAATTTTCACTTTCACTTATTAGGAATACAATATAAAAACAATATTGTGTGACAAGCTATTAATACATTTTAAATCAATTAGTAACACATACACGATTAATTTATTTAATAACCAATGAAAGAACATATCAATAATGTAAATTTAAATGAACACTTAACTGCATTCATTGAACATTCTCAACATTATTGATGAATTTATTTTAGTCCTGCGGTGACATTATAATAAATGCTAAGCTATAAAAACGTATAATTATAACATAAAAAGTAAACGCAGCAAGCAAGTTTACAACATGTTATCATATGACATAATTTTGACGAATCCTGTAAAATTGTATTTGTATTTATGCAGGCTTTTTTCTTCAACCTAGCTTACGATGCGTTAAAAATAATAAACGACCTCGTCACCAAACAGAAAAGTCCCCAGCACCCTATCGTTATCGGCTGGAACGCGTTGTCGACGTGGGTATGTAAGTTGGAAGAAGATGCTTGTAGTTATGGAACGATGGCGGAATATTTTCGGAGATGGGAAAACGACGAAGAGTAAATAATCCCTGTTAATAATTTATTATAATGTTATTAGCGTAATCATGTATTCGATTGTTTTATTATCATAATAATATCTAATCATAAAATAATAATTATACGCTCACACGCTTGTGTTTTTTATCATTATAGAATATCAGCTGAAGTTAAAGACAGTGCATTTTGTGTCGGAATTCGAAAAACCTACTACTTAGAAAAATTGAACACATTTTTACACCTATACAATACTACCAAATCGTATTCGGAAAGAGGATCGGTGATTAACGCGTTGTCTTGTGCTGGAACAAATCAACTTATGACGTGAGACTATACATTTTTTTGAGATCATATTATCTATAGTCTTAACGATAAACCACTAGAAAATTAGTGAAATAACTCAGACAACTAGGGTTTATAATAATTGAATTAAACGATTTTTCACAATGTTAAATATTCATAACACGAAGAGTATTTTACGTTCAATTTTAAAATAATTTGATTTTTGATAGCTATATTTCATAATAATAATAATAATAATAATAATAGGTGCATAAAAATATATTACGTATAACGTCAAAACGAAAATATTTGTGTTTCTAAACAAATTTTCGGGTGGCTGTATGTTATGAAATATAATATGATGAGCAAAACGCAGTGTTATTTGGAATTAACGACTCAGCACGATAGCTCCCTATGATAGCAATTTAACTAGTGATAAATAAATGCATAGGTATCTAAAATACTAAATAATAAATGTTTTTGTATTTTAGGTATTTGGCATTAATAATGGAGAACAAATGTCCAATTGAACCAATTGACTACGAGGATTTCTTTAATGCGCTGTCTTCGACATCCAACGGAATAGTTGCTATGAACTATTTTCTTGGCAAATATTTTACAGATCTCGTCAACAACGTGAAAGATGGCCAAAATATAGCTAAATCTATGTTCTCAAAATTAGTTTCAAAGGTTTCCATGGAGAACGAAATTGAAAATGTAACGATATTTTTTTTTTATTATACGACATTAGAAAACCTCTATAGTTATAATAATTATTGATATTATAAAACTCTATTCATGTTAGTATATTATTATACAATAAAATATTGTGAATTTAATAGTTAGCGTAATATGCACTGAAAAATTGTATAGTACCTATATAATAAAATTGTGTTTCTTTAATTTCCGTACTAATCACAATAATTATTTATCACATAATTTCTAAAAGTTTTAGCTTAAGTACTATGAAAATTTATTCGTATTAATAATGTGTACAGTACATAATATATCATATTCTCGGACTTAAAGTGTATGCAGAATGTATGAACAATTATTCCCCCGGCCAGATAATATTTTACTTTTCAGTTAACAATCAATACGAATAACATTTATTAGACTATATCAGTATTACATAATAATAAATTTACGATACTATAAATACAAATTTTCGGTTTTAGATGATGCAAATGGCGTTTAAAAGCAATACGCCCGTCGAATATAGAAACAAACTCGTTTCAATGTATCAGAATGAAATCGAGTACTACAAAAAATGGTACGACAATGGTACTCCAGAAACGATTTGGGAGTACATAAATCCTTTAGCGAAAGGATTGCCGCTGGATCCATCAGACGAACGTAGTATAACTACGCAGAGCCCGATAAAAGATGATTCTAGCGCTTCGTCGAGTTTGCATAAGTACGCCATTATTTCGCAGATTTTAGCACTGTCGGTTTCAGTTAAATTACTTGTTAACATATTCTAAATGAATCTTAATAAAATGTATATATTGTAATAATATTTTTTTGACCAAAAATATATCATTTATTTTCAAAAATCTTTAATTCGAAGTGAGAATGGTATAATAATTGGTTTTGCAACAACTTGTATTTGTTTGTATGCAAACACGTTTTCAAGCTTGAACCACTTTAAAAAACAATTATAGGTGTTACTTTAGAAAAGTAATTTTAACTGAAAATACACTTCTTTAAAGAAAGAAGAAGAAATGTCGAGCAAAAATGTGAATTTCGGAGAAATAATAATTTCAATGTGAATATCTTAGTAAAAACTTTTTTTTTTTTTAATAATTCAAAAGCTTAAAATATTATTTTGAAGTATTTCAACTTGATTGGTTAAAAAATTCATTAAATCATTATTCAAAATTATTTTGTTACAGGATAACTAGATAAAAGTTTAAATTAAAGTGACATTCAATTACCTATTACTTAAACAAATTATAAAATTGACACTTTTTATTTGTATAGAACTTATATAAGTATATTATTATTATATAATTATGAAATTTTTAACATTTCTACTGACTATATAATTGATTCTGTGTACATTTTACACTATAAAATGTTTAAAATATCTAATGAAACTTACTATTAAGAAACGCGAGTTCTTCCAAGTAATCTTTATCTTATAATAATTTAACTGATTTAACTATATTTCTATTTAATATGTCTTATAACCCAACTCAAAACTATAAAATATACATTGTTTTTAGATCTTTTATTTCAGGTTTTTCGTCAATACACTATAATATGCAAAACATGTATAAAACAAAAGTTAATTTTTTTGATCATCTAAAGATAAGTAGGCATAGTATGTATAATGATTATATATTAATAATATATAATATAATAATTTATGTTTAGAGCTAGGTAGCTATATACAGCAATAATAAAGTTAAGAACAATTGGATCAGACATTGAACTAATTCGTATTAATACATCTTTTTCATAATTATTTTACAAATTAATTATCGAAAGTTGAAAATCGACCAAAATAAAAATAATATTAAAAAATCCAATTAATTTTCTATTTTTTTTCTCGAGTGACGATGATAATAGTTTAATCGTTATTATCAACTGCAGCATCGTTAGAAATGAGTTATCCTGAGAAAATCTGAGAATTCTCGGAAATTTAAAAAAAAAAATGGAAATGAATTATAGTATACGTATTGCGAGATAAGGCTAAATAACCGTATATTAATTATTTTCAATTCTCAATTTTTTTTTTTTTTTTTGTTTGCTAAATTTCAAATTAAAAATCTTTTGTACTGTTTTTAAATTATATAAATAAATAAAGCATTATAGGTTTCAATTGAAGTATGTTTATTATAGTTTATGTTTCTTAAACTAGTAGAATCAATGTAGTATTTCCTATATTGGTGGTATCGATTAATACCATTACAATTCACTGATTTGCTAATTAGAAAATTGATAAAATTAACGGAAAGCTAGTTATTAGATATATGTTAAATTAATATTTTAACTACGTTCCTAATTTAAGGATCACAATGAATAATCAACAGAATATTTGTTTTAATTTTTATTCGGAGTTTATTTTTAGTTTCTTTACTTCTCTTAAATACTCTTGATAACGTTTTATCAGTAGTTATCAAGTAATATATTATGCATGTATACAGTTACTTACAATATAATATCACCTTTTATTTAATTTTTTTTTTTTTTGGTAAAATTATCAGATCTACCATCTACCTTTTTATGAAATCAATAATTGTTATGCACTGAAATAGAATAGAATTTTAAAGTACATAAATACATGTTTTAATAATTATAATAATATAATTAAACATATTTAAAAGAGGAGATGTAACTCTCTAGTATAACAAAACATAATAAAAATTTCAAAATAATGTAATTTTTCATAGTTTTAAATATTTCCGGAACAGCATGGCAATCAAAAACAAAAATTAAATTAAATTAAATACTATAAGTGTCTACTTAAAATAACGATAAGAACTAACGACTAAATGAGAAAAAATGATGGGAAATATATTACAAAATACTGAAATAAACATTTAAAATTCTATATAGTTAATATTAGTTAGAAATAGTTCTATTAAATTATGAGTATTGAAAAGTTTTTTAAAAATAATATATGTTTCATACACATGAGACAGTAAAAAATGGTCATCGCAGTGGTCTAGTGGTCCTGTTATTATTAATATCATTGTCCAATGCTCGTATTATTGTTCTAAAGATCATAGTTATTATTATTGTTATTATTATTATTATTGTATAAACAACAATATAATAATATGTATCACACTGATCAATGTTTCTTTAATTTTTTTAATTTAAGATCAGATAAATCAGTTACACTGCTATTGCCTATTGTGCTTTCATAGGAGCCTTTAGTTCATTATTCAAAGTAATAAGACGATTTTCAAAAATTAACAATAACTATAATTACATGAATTTAATACGAATACATTGTTTCATTACAATTTTTCTTCCATAGCTTTCGCTTAAACAATAAATTATTTTTGTTGATTATCAGAACGATGTTTAATCATTTATTTTTTTTAAGTTCATTGTAATTATAATCAGTGGCGCAACTAGGGGCAGCAAAAGGGTCTTTAGCTTCCCCTGGTTCAAGTTTAGCACCCCTTATTTTTTTATACCCAACTATTAATTATTACTGTTGTAGTGAAATACCATGGCTGTGTGAGGCATTGACAGTTTAAGCATCCCACATTTTAGAGGTCTAGTTGCGCCTATGATTATAGTAACATATTATTATTTCCTATGTTATATATATATATTATAGTAAACGCTAAGGTATAAACGCATAATATGAGCTATTTCTAAACATCTCTCTGTCTTTTATATAATAAAGCATGAACTATTCTAACCGACCTATATGACGATCCTTTTTGCATCATTTTTTTCTTAATGTCTCCTAATTCCTCGTGATTTTTTCTATGTGTAATAACCATGAATGATTTATCGCGATGTTGTCACTATTTATTGATTTATTATTAATAAGTAACTATGCTCACGAACAATACAATAATATATAATAATAAATACATTTTATGTGATAATTTTAAAATTACACGTGTGTAATAATGTAATACAAGTAGTATATACTATGTTATATATAAGCTCGTCGGCTTTAACAACACGGACACAATAAAATTACCAATTACTCATATGTGACTATGTCAAGTGGCGAATTTTATCCAAATGTAACTACACCGGGGGACGTACACATGAAATTAAATTAATACTAAAAAATACAACCTGGTATATGCACGACCAATCAGCCACAGTCACTGATGAAATACTCACTGAAGATACCAAGTTTAACGAATAAGCACTCTAAAGAATTATGCCACCAAGACGGAAGCAGAAGTGCGTTAACACATACATCTCTGCGCACAAAACATATGTTGGTTTGCGACACAACTGCTGGTCATTTGATTGACTTAGCATGGAGAATTGTTCAATATCGTTATTATTAAGAAAAAAGATACGCAATAATATTATCGGACGATACGATTAAAATTCACAGTTCAGTATTCGCTTATAGTGCGATTTGCGACTGACGGTGACTCGGGAACAAAAACACATGGAATGCGCAACAGGAGTTTTAAAACAATACCGGAACCGGAAAATACGAAAAGTACATTGACACGTAATGAACAGGAACGGTCTTTCAGCACTATCACAATGAAACAAATTACAACTGGAATACTAAGAAACTTTATGACACTGATAGCACGACTAAATGAATAATTTGAAATACATTTGAACAAAAACGAACCTTTGAAAAAACATTTAACATAAATACATGTGACATAGACGATATAACAAAGCGATCACACAGCTGGCTGGGCACACACGGAGGTGTGATAACTGTGATCAGCCAATTAGGTAGGGCTGCAGCTGAACACGCACCGTTACGTCTACACGAAAACGATGACAATATGAACAAAAACACATAACGTCAACATTAACATCATAATAATATTTACCAATAAAATAATATTGAATAAATATTTCTGTTCGTTTTAAATACAATTATTTTAATTTCTCGCAAACCGGTTGTCTTTTACAAGATTCTACCCGAATCATTGTTACTTCACATGACTTATTCTTATATAATCTTATGAATTTTTGATTTAGATAATATATCCAGCTGGTATGACCGAAAAGGATTTGCGACGACGGACAAAGAGCATCTGCAGTGATTGTTATTGCACTGGTTAAAGAGAGCTGACATTTTTATTTTTGTATTTAGTGTATTTTTATTCACTGCATTCAATAATGTTTGTTTTTCTGTAAAAAATTTGTATTCAAGAAGTTATCACAAAAAAAAAAAAAAAAATTAAATAAATAAATAAAAAAATATTCATATTTATTAATTATAAAATATTGTATAACCTAACCGAGCGTGTTCTTTAAATATCACGAAATATGACTTACTATTTTGATGATTACATTTTTTTGAATTCTATTAACTCAACACATTATCCAAATGGTCGTGGTTCGATTACTATTATTACTACAATAAAATTTCTGTATTATAAATGAAAAACAACGTAATCATACTACAACACAACTTACCATTTTATGTGTGATTTTTTTGCTATCCTACTATTCGATTTTACGTAAATATATTTGCATGATTATGGCCATTAAATTTTAACTTACAAGTTACATTTTTAATCGTTTTTAACCTAATCTATTGTACTCATCAAATAATTACATAATGGCAGAAATACCAGGATGGTGAAATAAATCGTATGGAATATGTAAAAAAAAAAGTGGATTAAAAAATCAACCAATTAATTAAAATTATATTTATTTGTATGTACATAATATATTATACTATTGATAATTTTTTATAAAATCGAAATTTCAAACGATATCTTTGGCACTTATGTCCTACACATTTTGGCGCAAATGATATGCAATTTTTGTACCTTTGGTGCTTATGTTATATAGCTCAGAGGTCCTATACAGGGGGAGATATATTTAAACGAATAAAATAAATTAATAGAAATAACTAGGTTATAATTAGTCGACATGAAAATAAATAAATTTTCATGGTAAATACAATAATAACCCTCTCTCGATAATCTGCATGAACAATATTTTAGTCACAATTAATTATAAATGGAATATTTGATAACTTTATTTGTGAATATTTGTGAACAATAGAGGGCAATAATTTCCCCTATTACCTCATCTTCTCTTGAATCCACCCTTGCATAATATACTTAAATAATATTAAATTATTATCCAACTGCATGAATAATAGGTTTATTTTTAAAATGCCATTCAATATTTTTTAAATACTCGTGTTTTTTAATTTATTATATTAATAATTAATTGAGGCCATTGAAATCGTTAATTTTAACTCTTCACATTTCAATATAATCATATGTTTACTTCAATTTGATAAAAAATATATATATATATATATATATTTATTATTTGATAGTTTAGGCTATTTAATATACAACTTATATGAATTTAGAATGTATAAATATAACATCAAAATATATTAAATTTTAAATTTATTCAATTCGATATTGTATCAGACTTAAATTATTTTAATGATACGTATTATTCTCTAGATTTATTAGGAACAAGACGTGTGTACTATAAGGAAATATCACTATTTTGAGTGTATCAGTTACTGTTAAGTTTTTATTCGAAAAATGAATCATTAAATAATTCAAAATTTATAAACTACCTAATAAAATATGCTTGGTGTTTATGTACTTATATTTTCTAAGAATCTAAAAATTAAAAAAAAAATACTTCTACGAATTACCGTTCATAATAAAAACGACGCGATCACAAATTTTTAATTTAATTAATTCACAACTATTTTCCTAAAAGTATATAAAAAACTTTAAAAGTAAATAGTTTAATGAAACATATTTAATTTCAATAAATCTAAATACCTGATCGGCTTAAGTATGTATATATGTATATACTATGTACCTATTAGTGCATGACAGATATAAAGGTAGTCAGGTAGATACTAAAAAAGTATAAATAATTTAAATATAATAATTCATTTTTAAACCATTTAACAGAATAAAAGAAGTGATTTAAAATATTATCAAAATTAGATCAATTGATAATTTAAAAATTGCTTAAGTATAAATATTTTTGAACTTGCACAAATATTAATATTTTTTTCAATAAAATTAAGTTTTAAGTTCATCTATATAATATTATTAAAATTTAAAACGTGGGACGGTTTTTTATCAAATCATATCTGAAGTTTTACCGGATCAATTTTCATGATTTTTTTTTTTTTAACTAAAATGCGCGGTGTGTAAATTAACCATCCATTGAGAAAATTCTGAAATTTATCAATTAAATTTTTGATGGAGATATTTAGTTCTCTATGTATTTGCGTTATTTGAGTTGTTTATCGTACCTGTACATACCGTCAACTGCAATTTGCAATATTATTGCGTCGTCCGGTCGTCGTCGCACACAATCATGACAAGTACGTTACGTCAGCCCTCCTTTATAAAATTATGAGAATTCTATTATTCTATAATTTAATTCATCATTTTTATGAATACATTGCCCCCCCTCCCCACACACACACATACACTTGAGAAAGATGAAATTTTTTTTTTGCAAAACTTTTGTGTTCTATTTGTACGTACCTATTTGACATTTGTACGCCCAATATAAAAAATTATACGCTATTAGTTTTGTGATTATCACGACATACCTTTTGGAGAAAGAGAGGGGTGATATAAAGACAAACTAAAAGCTCACTAATGAAGCTAAAGGTATAAAATCATAAAATTACATATAAATGATATAATAATAGGTTTAATGATTTAATGGTATTAACTAATGACTAACAAACTTAGATACAAATTAGGTAATACTAAAGACAAAATTGTCACCATAAATGGAAAATATGTGCCAAGATATATAATGTTTTTAAATATAATATATTTTTGATCTTCATACTTTAATCTTTTACTCTGTTTATAATATTGTATGAATATATTTTGCTACTTCTTAATGTCGGCTGTTATAAATTTTATTATTTAATGAATTATTTTTAAGTAAATTTAATATAAGAACCGCTCCTTCAGCACAAGCTTTGTTTGTAGGGGGTGCTACAATTAATTAATTTATGTATTTATATAATGTGTCTCATGTTGTTTTGCAAAATAAATATATTATTACCAAAAAAGTGTATTTATTTAAATAATTCCCAAAGATCTCACACAATTTCTGACGAGACTGAATATAATTTCCAAAGAGTTAATATAATTTTGCGAAGAGCTTATATATCCAAAAGAATTTATATATACACCATAGAGCTTAGATATATTCAAAAATAGTTTTTAAATTTTCCAAAGAGTTTACATATATAAAAAAAAAAGTTTTAAATTTATCAAAGAACTTAAATATATCCAAAAATTAGATTTAAAATTTTTCAAAGAGCATGTATAAATCTCAAAGAACTTAAATACTCGTATATCCAAAAAATGGTTTTTAAATTTTCGAAAAAAATTAAAGATATCCCAAAGAGCTTAAATATACTTAAAAAAATCTTTATATTTTTCAGAGATTTTATATATTTCCCAAAGACTTTATTGAATTATCATAGTTTTTGTTTTTTTTAAACATCTTTTAAAATTCTGGATGAGCTGATATCTTTTTAAGGAAATTTCTATAGTTCCTAAAGAACTAAATATTTATTTCAGAGATTTTATAAATTTCCCATAGAGCTTTTGATATTATCCAAAGATCTAATAAAATTCTGGAAGAGTTTATATTTAATTCAGATATTTTATATATTTCCCAAAGATTTTATAAAATTTCCATATTTTTTGATTTTATTCAAAAAACTTATAAATTTCTCGAAGAGCTTATACATTTTTTTTAGGAATTTCTTATATTTCCAAAAGATTTCATAAAATTCACTTAGTTTTTGATTTCATCCAATAATCTTACAAATTTCTGGAAGAGTTTATATGTTAGTTTTGAGGAATTTCTTATTTTTCCAAAAGATTTCATAAAATTCCCTTAGTTTTTGATTTTATCTAAAAATCTTATAAATTTCTGGAAGAGTTTATTTCTTTTGCAGAGTTTTTATAAAATTCCCTTAATCTTTAATTTTATCCAATAATCTTATAAATTTCTGGATGAGTTTATATTATCTTCAGAGATTTTATATATTTCCCTAAGATTTTATAAAATTCCCTTAGTTTTTGATATTATTCAAAAATCTTTTAAAATTCTGGAAGAGTTTATTTCTTTTTCAGAGATTTTATGAAATTCCCATGGTTTTTGATTTTATTCAAAAACAAATGTTATATTTCTGGAAGAGTTTATATTTTTTGAGGAATTTCTTATACTTCCAAAACATTTCATAAAATTCCCTTAGTTTTTGATTTTATCTAAAAATCTTATAAGTTTCTGGAAGAGTTTATTTCTTTTTCAGAGTTTTTATAAAATTCCCTTAATTTTTAATTTTATTCAATAATCTTATAAATTTCTGGATGAGTTTATATTATCTTCAGAGATTTTATATATTTCCCAAAGATTTTATAAAATTCCCATAATTTTTATTTTTTTCTAAAGATCTAATAAAATTCTGGAAGAGGTTATATTTTTTCAGAGATTTTATAAAATTCCCATGGTTTTTGATTTTATTCAAAAACAAATGTTATAAATTTCTGTAAGAGTTTATATTTTTTTGAGGAATTTCTTATACTTCCAAAACATTTCATAAAATTCCCTTAGTTTTTGATTTTATCTAAAAATCTTATGAATTTTTGGAAGAATTTATATTATCTTCAGAGATTTTATATATTTCCCAAAGATTTTATAAAATTCCTTTAATTTTTTTATTTTATCCAATAACCTAATACATTTCTGGAAGAGTTTATATTATCTTCGGAGATTTTATATGTTTCCCAAAGATTTTAAAAGATTCCCATAGTTTTGTTTTTTTTCTAAATTTCCAATGAAATTCTGGAAGAGCTTAAATTATTTTGAGGAATTTCTTATTTTTACCAAAGATTTTATAAATTTCCCATAAAGCTTTTGATTTTATTCAATAATCTTTTAAAATTCTGGAAGAGTTTATTTCTTTTTCAGAGATTTTATAAAATTCCCATGGTTTTTGATTTTATTCAAAAACAAATGTTATACATTTCTGGATGAGTTTATATTTTTTTGAGGAATTTCTTATATTTCCAAAAAATTTTCATAAAATTCCCTTAGTTTTTGATTTTATTTAAAAATCTTATGAATTTTTGGAAGAGTTTATATTATCTTCAGAGATTTTATATGTTTCCCAAAGATTTTATAAAATTCCCATAATTTTTATTTTTTTCTAAAGATCTAATAAAATTCTGGAAGAGCTTATATTTTTTCAGAGAATTTATATATTTCCCAAAGATTTTATAAAATTCCCTTAATTTTTGATTTTATCCAATAATCTTATAAATTTCTGAAAGTGCTTTTTTATTTTTTATGAGGAATTTCTTATATTTCTTAAAGATTTTATAATATTCCCATGGTTTTTTATTTTATTCAAAAAATCTTATAAATTTCTGGAAGAGCATATATTTTTTTGAGGAATTTCTTATATTTCCCAAAATTATATAAAATTCCCATAGTTATTGTTTTTTTATAAAGATCTAATAAAATTTTGGAAGAGCTTATATTTTTTCAGAGATTTTATATATTTCCTAAAGAATTCATAAAGTTCCCATAGTTTTTATTTTTTCGAAAGCGCTTATAAAATTCCTAAAATTTATAATTTTTTCAAAGATTTTATAAATTTTTCAAAGATTTAAAAAAATGTATAAAAAGTTTTTGTTTTTTTTTTCAAACAACCTTTAAAATTCCCAAATAGCCTTTATACTGTTTAACGATTCTATATATTTCCCAAAGAACTTATATATTTCCTAAGAAGCTTATATATTTCCCTAAGGATTTTATTTTTTCCAAAGAGTTTAAATACTGTTCACGAATGCAAGTATATTTTGCCAATGAGTGTATATATTAGCCGTATATGCTAATATATATCTCAAAGATTATATATACTTCTTATAGTGTATATATGTATACTTTAGTTAGTGTATTTATGCCATACAGTGTATGTATACACTCTGCTCCCATGGGTGCAAATATACATGCTATGAATTTATTTATATCCCATAGAATTTATTTGTATGCTAAATAGTTTATATATTTTCTATGGATGCAAAACTATATTTGCCATATAGTGTATATATTAGCCATAGATTAAAATATTTATGTCATAGCTAGTTTTTATATCTTATGCATATTATTATATCAAATATATCCGATTATATGATAATACCTTTAGCTTCTTTGTTGAGTTAATAATTTGGTTTTTGTCACCCCTCCCCCTTCTTCGAAAGGTATTTCGTGATCCTCGCAAAACTATTAGCAAACAAATGTCTATATTGCGCGCACAAATACGTACAAATAGAATGCAAAAGATTGGTAAAAAAAATTTGTGTGTGACGTCATGCCAACCCCCTGAAGAGATTTTGATAATATATTTTAGCCCCTTTGGTCGTAGAAATTCAGTGCTACTGCGTACAAATTCGTACAAATGACATACTAAATGATAGAATAGTATAATTTTCATATTTTTAAAAAGAGGCTAAAGTTACGTACGTAATCATAACCCTTTATAAACATAACTATACTACCATCAATTGCTGTGCTATCGTCGATAACGAAATAATAAATATGGGTTATTCAAATATTCTCTTTTTACTTACTAGGCGACAATTTAAAATTAGAATTGTTTTTGGTAGACAAAAAACAAAGCATAGAGACAATTGTTGGATAAATTAAGGTTGTATTTGTCCCAATCTGTATTTAGTCATGACAACTTAATGTAGCCATGTCCAGAGTTATATCTTTTGAATAATTAAAAACACAAATAATAATCAAAAAAAACAAAAATGATAAATGAATAAATTTTTTAAAAAATGTTTATAACTATATTACACAAATACATAAAAATTTCTCATAACTGTCAATTTTCCGTACGAATAAATTATGTGTATATTTATAAAGTTGATTAAAACTGAAGAACTTAAATTAATTTCCATTTTATGTTGTTCTTAAACATTATTGTCATATTATTACAACTATAACTTCATTATACATATATATATATATATATAATTATTCAACATTCTTATTTTTTTACTGTAACCCTGCAGCGATGAGTTATTCAGCTGGTATACATTTAAATAGAAAATCGATTGAAAAGTTAAAAATAAACACTTATTTATTCAGATCCTTTGTATAAGCATAAAGACAAGTTTGACCTTGGCCAAACTACTCAAATTCTATTTGTTAACAACAATAATTACGTATAAAAACTATAAGCGCATTATTTTCTTATTCTGTACTGTAGTATTTTTTATTAACATGTTTGTGAGCAATTGACAACGTGATAAAGTTTATAAGTAGTTGTTTAAATTTACATTGCCCATCTACCGTGTTTCATTGGTGGAACAAACTAAGAAATATATTTTATTTTATTTTAGCTGCAAACGATGCAAATTAAAATGCATATTAAATTGTATTAATTATTTTTATGTACAATAATATTATTTTCAAACAAATTTCTAATAGAAAAGTTGTATTGTTGTCATTTTTTTACACTTATCATGATTGAAAAAAAAAATAATTATGTACATACAGGTAATACACATGTTAGGTACTTCAGGTGGGATTATGTGCTTTAAACCGAACGAGTCTAATTCACTGATAAACTTTACAATTATATTATATATATACTTGTACACTGATATTTCTCAGCATTGTTCAAATGACTGAGCGGGAATCACCAACTATAGTCAGATATCATCATCGAGCTTTCGACGACGATCATAACAATAATAGCCTATAAGTGCAATACGATTATGTCGAAATTCTTATTATTGACTTTCGTTTACACACTGACGGCATTACATTATGGCAAAGGCTTGGAGGCGATCTCTAGGAACATAAATGATGCAAATGATGGTACAATTTTCACTTACCGTTTGCCGGATAATACAGAACCACTGTCTTACGACTTGCGGATAACGCCCGATATCGAAAATCGCTCTTTTCACGGTCAAGTCGACATCGTTTTGAAGGCCAAACAGTATACGACAGAGGTGATCCTAAACTCGAAGGATTTAATCTTGTTGTCCGTACCGACGCTTCAAGACTTGAGAACAAACCGGAGTATTGCAATAAAGGACTACACCTTCGACAAGCCCAACGAATGGTTGGTCATCAAACTTGAAAAATCGATTTTACCGTCGCGGCTCTATAAGCTTACCGTCGTATTCAGAGGAATTTTAAGAGACGATTTTATTGGATTTCATAAATATTTCTACGACTCTGGCAATCACTCGAGGTATTTATGTATGATTTGAAACAATCAAGGCTTGCACTATTTATGTGGTAACACGCAGATCTTATGATTATTTTTGATCTTAAAAATTGAACGTAGACATTTTTGCCTAGTTTTCCTTTCCTAAACAAGAAGTAGTAAAATTAAATATAATTATGTTATAATCATTTTTCTGTATAGATGGATAGTTCTAACTCAGTTCAAGCCGATATACGCCAGACGAGCATTTCCGTGTTACGACGAACCGAAATTCAAGACTCCATACACGATATCAATTGCCAGAAATAATAGGCATTCTGCGTTGTCTAACATGCCACTAAAATTCACTGAAATCCAGTAAGTTCTTCTTTTTACTTGAACACTCAATACGTCAACCAAATTGACTGCAGGTCGATACTCGTTCTGCGCTATCTTTTCTCGTTAAATTTAAACATATTATTTACTATAATCTTTTCATAATATTCAAAATTATGTAAGTACAATTTTTTATTAAGTATATTCTATTTTAATTTTTTTTTTAGTTCACAAAACGGTTGGGTGTGGGATCACTTTAAAACTACTAAGCCAATACCTACGTATTTAGTGGCTTTTATGGTGTCAGATTTTGACAAAAATCATGTAAACGACGATAATAATATTGCCATGCATACGCGCAAAGAGTACATCGAATATACAACGTATATGATGGGAAAAGCACCAAACTTACTCAAAGGTGTAGAAACGTTCACTCAAATACCGTATATGTTACCGAAGTTGGATTTAATCGGAGTTCCTTTACTAAACGCTTACAGCATGGAGAATTGGGGACTGAATTCTTATGAGTAAGTAAGTTTAGAAAATATTTTTATGAAAAAAAGTAAGACAGGTAAATATATTTTTATACATGTAATTGTTATACATAATGGTGCGATTTATTGTAATATTTTTATACAAGTTGTGTACAATAACAACTATTATTATGAGTTTCTAAACTATAATCCAGCCATGTATTGTTTAAAGAGAAAACCTATCTAGTATCTACCTATATATTGTATTAAATTATAATTTTTTCTTAGAGAATTTTACGTTACTTTGACACAAGATTCAGAAACGGAAGACAAAATACAAGGATCCATGACCATACTACACGAGATCTTACACCAGTGGTTCGGTAACATGGTGACCACTCCTTGGTGGGACAACGCATGGTTGAACGAGGGCATATGCAACTTCTTGAACTATTACATAACGAGTATAGTAAGTCCTAAGCCAGGTTTTGGCTCACGAGTTTTAAATATACTAACGTTTTATAAACCATACATAATATATGCGTGATTATTGCAGATCGAGCCTGAATGGGACATGGATGAATCGTTCGTTGAAAATGTTCATCAGTACGCGCTGTCTTGGGACGAGTATGACGATACACACCCTTTGACGTTCACAGTGTCGACTCCCGAGGAAATCGAAAATGTTTTTGACGTTATTACAATTGACAAAAGCGCGGCGTTGTTTAGAATGTTGAAATGTGTGGTGGGCGAGGAGAACTTCAGGACTTCAATAAACAAATATCTCGATGATTTTGCGTAAGTATACATAATATAGAGAGTAAAAACAATTTTTCATACGGAACGACAGCACGGAACTATAACGTGTTAAAACGGATATTATTATGTAATATTCAATATCACTGAAATAATATCACCACAGTGATAGTCAACGATACCAATATCATTTCTAAATTATTTGTTTTATCGAATCTATTGTTATGGAAAGTTGTGTTTTTAAAATAAACTTTTTACCTATAATGAACGCAAAATTTTAATTCGACCTCAATTAGAATTTGAGGTACCCATTAAAAAAGTATGTAGAAAATTATGCATGCAAAATCACCAAGAAATAATAAATTCTATCAGAAAAAAAATATATTCAAATTTAAAATATACTAGACTCAAAATTTCAATTTTTTATAATGGTTAATCAATAAGTAGGTCATCACTATTAAATAAACTTCTGCACGATTACTACAGATACACAGTAGCGGAACCAAAGGAATTGTGGGAGACGTTTAATTACGTGCTATACGATGCCGAATATACAATATTAGATGATCTCACGATCAATAAGTACATGGATTTGTGGACGGAACAGCCAGGGTATCCACTGATAACAGTGAGGTCGACAAGTAATGGATCAGTCATTGCGTCACAGGTAATGAAAATAAAAAATAAAAAAATAAAGTAAAAAATCCAAAAACGTCACACACCGTACCTCGGGGACAGTCAAACTCTTTTTGGCCGCGATCTTCTAAAAATATACTTCACCTTTGAGAATTAACTTCGATAAAAGAGTTTTTTTTTATTATTAAATTACTATACCACTATAATTAATTTTCGTGTGCGTAGCCTAAAATAAATTCTAACACGATCGACTTTGAAATCGTTTGCAATCGACCGGTCGAACGCGATCGACTGTTTGGCCGCCCCTGCCGTACCTTAATGACCGTAGTGGTGTTACAATATAATTGATTTATGTTTATCAATAGTATAATTTACTATACTGTTTACGATTTCCACAGAAACGTTTTTCTCTGTCGCATCCGCGGCAAACGAACGACGACGCAAAATGGTTTGTTGGCTTGACGTACACCACTGAGAACGAATTGGACTTCGAAGAGCTCACGCCGACCGTTTGGCTGAAACCCACCGATCAGCAAATGACATTGACCGTTCCCGACGATTTCGGATGGATAATTGTCAACATCCAATCGACCGGTAAGTGTCTTCATTGCCATTACCGCATGCCGGAGTTGGTAAATTGCGTCCCGCAAAAAAGGTCATAGTTATATACTGTGTAAATTGCGGCCAGAGTATATTTTATACATACGTAAATTGCGGCCCGAGATATTCCGATTTCCGGTCGGCTGGTTATATTATCTTTAATATTGATTAATAAGGATATCACTTGATGCTCACTTATATAATATTATTAGCCGCCAGTGTGCATTTGATCGAAATATTTTGCACGAGTTTTTACATTGGTCTACAGTATTTACAGTATTTGTATTTTTTTTTAATTTTATAACAATCCTTAATGTAATTTACATAACAATGACAAATTATTAAGTAGGCAAATATATTAAAATATAACGGGGCCGCAATTTACGTATGTATATAATATACCGGGGCTGCAATTTACGTATGTATAAAATATACCCGGGCCGCAATTTACATAAAAAATTTGAAACGGGACGCAGTTTACAGCGACCCACCGCATGCACCCATACCCACACACACACACACGCGCGCGCGCGCGCGTACACATACATAATATTATAATATGATATAGTACAGAATTATACCGGTTATGTATTATATGTCTGTCAACGTAGGGTTTTACAGAGTGAATTACGACGAAAAAAATTGGAAACTTTTGTTGATCCAGTTAATAACAAAACCCGACCGAATACACGTGCTCAACAGAGCGCAAATCATAGACGACGTGCATCACCTGTGCCGAGCCGCGCTGGTGCCGTACAGTTATTATACTTCGCTGCTCGAATACCTGTTGATGGAAGACCATGTGATGCCTTGGAACACGGCGATCAACGGCTTATCGTCGATCATGGACGCCATCCGACGATATCCCACTGAATATTCAAAGTTCAAAGTACTCTTTATTCTATAATAACGTGTCATCGTTGACACTCATAAAATTATATTATATATTATACTTCATGGCATTATGAGTACTGATTTTAAACATAAATTTCTCACAGAAATACGCAAAGGGCTTAGCGGATATTTTATACAACAAATTATCGGAAAACCAGATGCGTAATGCAACGATGAAAATCGGTTGGAGCAAACTATTGACGTGGACGTGCAACATGGGCAACTCGCGTTGCGTGCAATCTGCGTCGGAACATTTTGACGCATGGATGAATAACGGACACCAGTGAGTTAAATCACTTAAATAAACAACAGACAAAATAATATAATTGTGAATAGTCGAGTTTGCGCAAAGTCTTAACGCTACCGCCGTTGAAGTCTAACACTGGCGATACAAGGACATAAACACAATATTATGAAAAACCAATTTAATAATAAAAATATTAACTCAATAAAATAGATCACTCTGTACACATAGGTACACACGCTCATATGGGCACGTCTACAACGCAAATAAACCATTGTATCCACCTTAATACAATATAGTGAGTTATTGTTGTCTATACCGATTATACCGCGCACGTATATCATGTTACGTACCAACGGTGTATTTTACACATTTATCGAGCAAAAAACCTTATTTATTATAATGTATACATTGTAACACGCTTTAAAACGAGTAGGATACCCCGCATTGTGCACGTCGCAATTGTGCACAACGATAATACGCGGTGCTATAAAATTTTGAATTTTATACAGTTTTTAATATATATTATAAACCAATAATTGCACCATGGACGTTAGTGGCGATACTGTTCGAATCGCAAAAACGATTAAAACAGTGAACGTATTGGTATTTTTCTTTGAACTTTTATATACGCAGTATAACTTATGACAAGTAAAACGGTTTTTAAAAATATGAATGAATTTATATCAATATGCAATACATAGGTACTCAGCGATACGATTGGTCGAGTGGTATTGTCGTCGTAATATTAACATTTTATAATCCGATAACAGTCGATATGTAATTTATAATATAATATAGGTACATGTATCTACGCTTAATAATAATATTATTCTCATCGACCTAAATCTCAACGAGTTTTTAACTTATCTCTTAAGTAAACATTAATTATCTAAACACCTTGACGTGTAAACTTGACCAAGTACACATCTTAAAATGTTTTTTGTGTTAGATAATTCTATAATAAAATAACACATTTGTTCGATAAGAAGACATATGTTTTGCAACCTTGACACTCAAGGAGTGAGAAAAGTATGAGCATTTACCGCTCCGCAGGCTCGTTCTACTACCGTAATTATTTGCGTTTGTCATTTTTTTTTTCAAGTATAAACGTTTTACTGAAGTTATATTAAGAGCTTGTCCCCAGCAAAAACACACGTGGGTTCACACTTTGACACCAATTTGTCGATATTTTCTACACAATGGCTTTAATTTTAGTCCCAATTGATAATATTAATAATTCTTTTGATATCCAAAAACAATATTTTGTCTCGAAAGAATTGTAAATTTAAATTTTTATTATTATTATTATTATTATCGACTTTCACTATTTGTACCCATTATCAATGGGATATTTTTAGGATACCACCCGAAATGGAAGAAGCTGCGCTGTGCGCGGGTATGAGAAAAGGAAATATCGCAGCTTTGTCGAGAATTCACAAGTTCTACGATACGACGCGATCACCGTCACAGAGAGAAATCGCTTTGAGAGCATTGGCTTGTACCGACAACGTCCAAATGCTGTTGAGGTAATACTTAGTTATTATCATTATAGTATTGTAATGAGGTGTGAAACGGAAACGGATATTTAATAAGGAATGTCATGTTTAATAATATTTATACGTGGTAATACAAATTAATTCATGTGAAGTAATTTAGTAGAATTAATTTTATGTGTTATTCACGTAACAGTATTTAAACGATTTTTCTACTGAAAAGATGAAAATATTCTTTATTTTCATGTAAGGTGAAGAAAAGGCTAATTTATATTAATTTGTTCAATAAATTGAGCAATTCGAATTTACATTTGTAAATTTCATGAATTTTTAAAAAACTTTACGGCAAAATACTTTTGTGTTCAAGTCAATTATTGGCCTTTATCTAATCACAAAAAAAAAACACTTTTTACATTCAACTCAATCTATTAGATGCATTAATAATAATTTTGTACTTAATAATAATATAATACGTCAGGTTGTGTGTGTGTGTGTGTGTGTTTTTTTTTTTTTTGTTTACCTAATGTAATTTATGGCTGTTTTAAGTCATCTAAATCTGATGCGATTGGATGACGTGGGCCATGTGAGCTTGCATACATTTAAAACAGTTTGCGACAACGTCGTTACCACACCGACAGGCGTTAAAGCTCTCGCCAGTTTTCTGATACAAAAACTGAACACGATTCAATCGACGCCGATTCGCAATAACCTGAACGACAAGTACATCGCTGTTGCGTACTCTGCATTGGCGTCCAAAGTAGGGTCGGACGAGGAAATCGTTTTGGTAAATATGATACACCCGTTCGATGATATTTTCATATTTTGTCAAATAAAAGTGTATTTACATGTTGCGTTTATTGGTTTTTTGACGTAGATAAACAATATAAGGCGGCATGTCAAATCAGCTGATCTGAAAATCGTGCTGGACAAAATTTATCAAAAAATCGAATCAAATTTGTTATGGATGGAGCGAGATCATAAAAAAATCATCAGGGCTATCGAAATGTGAGAAAAAATCGGGAGCCCTGAATAAAATATAACTTTGATTATATTAGTTATATTAGCATATTATATTATTATAATATAAACGTTCGTAACAAAACGGTCATTATATTTTTATATAACATTAAACTTTATTAACTTAATCGTAAATTTACAATCTATCTATATGGATTATTAATTATATATTATAATATAATATAGACTATACATACTACAATTATTGTATTTTACGCTTATATATGAAAGACATTTTAATAAAATATTTAATTTTATATACACAAAACTATTTTTTTCGTTCAAGTACATATATTAACATTTTACTATTATTATTATTACAGGCTATGGTTTCACGCATTTAAAAGCTTGTACGTAATTTTCTAAAAAAAAAAACAACATTAAATTTATAGATACATCAAATTTTTGTATTCATGAGGTAATTCCTTAACTAACTACTTTAATACTACATATTTTTATTATTATTTAATAATCGTTAGTTATATAATAAGCTTGCACAATAGTGCATAGACAATTAACGCTAACGTTAAATTAAAATTAAAACGCCAAATTTTATTAAATCAAATAAATAAATAACACCACAAAAACATCACATGTATAGTAAGTATACAACAGATAAACTACCAACGTATAAAACTATTTACGTGATAATATTAGAATCTTAAGATCCTTGGGGTCCTGACCATAGTATTATTTAGTACTGTTATAATATTTGAAATTTATTGTCCTATAATATAATACTGTAAGACTAAATAATATCTAATCATTTACGGAACAGGTTAATAATTATTAAGTGTTTTATACATATTATACGTGTACAATGTGCTTCGAAGTTATAACTAAAAAAATATAATTATTTAGTGCCATAACTAAAACATGTACGAGCAAACGCATCATATTATAATATCAATCGAAAATAGTCAATCATATAATGAGGCTTATCTTCGTGCACACAGTAAAAAAATAAAATAAAAAGTATTAAATGCTTTACTTAACAGATAAAATCGAAGAATACGTAACTAAAAAACAACGAAAAAAGCATAATTCCTATAGAAACATCGAACGCGTTGAATTAACGGCGTTAGAAAAACAACACTCCCATATCGATTTTTAATTTCGACCATAATCAAAATTCGGTTTCTGTTTGATAATATTTTATCTTATTTTTGTATGTGCGAAATGATTAAATTATTGACTGGTAATAGTGTGTAATAATAAGTATTGATACAATGTTGCTTGTTAACAAAGAGTATTGCGAACACGTGGAACAAATAGACAAATAGAAAAAACAAAAATGTTATAAGAGTGGTTTTGTTTATTTTAAATACGACGACAACTGCACAGCGTGACACTATAATATGTACGCAACGCGCGCACTGATGTGATATCCGTTTCGACGGATCTTGGCACTAATAAAACACAACAAACATTAAACGTCTTAAACGTTGGATATAAGACCAAAAGTGCGCTGACCACAATATAATATAATAATAATAATAATAATAATAATATGACGATAGTATAATGTATATAAGTATGTAATACACATAACACGGCGTCATGTTCATTCGTCTTGACGCGCACACACACACACATTTATTTCATCCTATAAAAGCGTGCGCAGCACCTTACCCACGAATACCCATAAAATATTATTATACATATTTTTCCTTTCTTTCTTTTTTTCTTTTTCTATTTTTTCTTTTTTTTTTTTTTTATTCCCTACACGTCATTAATCATTATTCTTCTCGTTAAAACTTCTGTCAGTCCGCTGCTCCTCCCCTCCTGAGCTCACCCCCGCCGTTCCCAATCAACATGCTTGATTCACTGAGTATTCTACAATATTATCTATTCTATAACAACGTGTTTTGATTTTTTTTCGTTTTATACAACGCACATACGACGATCAACGACGAAGACGTCAGTCCGCCGTGTAAGTAGGTATATAGTATACCTATCTTAGACGTACTAGATTCGTCCTAGTTACCTTCATCTATCTATATGATATTTGTATCATGCCATTGTATGATATTATTTTAGTTGGCTGAATCTCGTTACCCTGCTGTATGACCAATCCCGTAAAAAAATCTCCAACACATCGGCCATCGTATTATTTTATTATTGCAATATTATGTTAAGGCTGTTAGGCGCACATCTGATAACTGTAACTGTTAGGCGCACATCTGATAACTGTAATGCGTTATAAAATATTTTAGAGTTGATGGAAAAAATTATATTGTATTATTGTAGGTACTACTTTACCTACACACTAGGTATATAGGTGTATTAGGGTATTTAATATAATTTATTATCATCGTTTATAAAATAAAAGCCAATAACTAGTGTTAGTAATATTGTGTGGTCAGAACGATATAATAAATTATGATACCGATATCCTATACAACTGAATGTATTTGTATACAAATTACAGAAGCGTTAATAATTATTATTATTATTATTCGGGTCGATTTGAGTTAAATAAAATATGTTAATAGAAGCATAGTAGTTTATTGTGACGATGCGTCATTCGTCTGAATATTATATCGAGTAAACGAGATCACGTCGTAAAAAAAGGTTAATTTTTTTCCGTATTCAGTTTCGTAAATTATACATTTATACGACTATAATAAATATAATTATGTATACTATACGTCATAATTTAATAATTTATATTTTTTTTACTTGACATAACTTACGTGTTTCATTGATTTGATTTGATCGCTGTAAAGGGTAAATTATAATGTAATCTATTAAATAAAAATCGCGCTACGACCACCAACTCTTTCTTGAAATTTATATTTACATATTTTTTTTATTATTTATGTGCAATAATTACTGTTCAATAATTTAGATTTAAATCACGTAATGTATTCAATTTTTGTTCGGTATTCATTCAAAACGTATCATACTGATACAACATCATATTATGTATAGAAAATAAATATCAACTATTAAGGTAACAATTATTAATATATACTTAATCACCACTAATAAATTGACAACTTAAAAATTATATCTAAAATCGAGTATTAAAATATTTATGTCTGGTCAGTCTTGAATAATGTTATAATTTACAGCTAAAATGATATTATTGTCTATACTTCAATGACACGTATAACTGTCATAAAAATAAATGGCATGCTTGTACAATCTTATTATTTATAATAATAATATAATATAATATAATATAATATAATATAATATAATATAAACTTTATAACCTAACCTAACCTAAGCACTAAGCACTCATAAAATTATTTTAAAATAATATAGAACTTAATTCAAATCAATATGACGAAGTATATTATGAGAATCAAAAAAGTAATTTGTGTACGTTATAATTATCAGCCATGAATAATCGTATGGATTCACTTTTTGTTTGTATAACAGAAAATAAATTATCTAAAAATCTACTCCTAAATAACTAAAACTTATTTCTTTCATTCAAATACAGAATATAATACAATAAAAAAAAATCAATTATTTTTCACATCTATTGATAATTGAGTATCATTATTCGGTAGATTTCATTTAATATGTAATTATATTGTACATTTTTACATCATAACTTTCATGAAACAAAAATATTTTTGTATCTTTGATTGCAGGATTCATAATAAGATTCATATTTTTGTTCCAAAAATAAAGCTATAAATTAAATAACATTAATTTTTTGAAATAATAAATTATAATTTTGCATATTAATTTTTATTTCATAAATATATATATATATATATATATTATTTTTAATAATATTACAGTCCGGAAGTCTTAGCAAAAAAGTTTAGTGGTTTGAATTTTTTTTTTCATTTTCAAAGAATGTACTTCTTATTCGAGAGATATAATTGAACGAACGCCAAAGCAATTTACTTAAATGACTATTGGTATTGTCAATATTATTATAGTTTTAATAGTTTGACCAGAGGTCCAGAGCTATACGTAATTCAGACAGTAAATATCTGAACAGATAATTCGGTATTATACTGGACGCTCGGCGGCGTTGCTCTAGAAATAGGTCTAATGATATTTTATTATTATTTCGTCTTATTACACGAAAGCTGCAATTGACCACACGTGTAAATAATTCCCGCAGGATATGATCTCATCAAATACAATAATATTTTACTTTCACCGTTTAAACACACATATAGGCGTTGACATTTATCAAATACACACAAAAAAACACACACACACACTAACTCGCGTTACAATCGCTTGATGTTAATACATATATTATTATATTATTTTATTTTTTAACGACTTAAATTACGAGCGTTAGAAAATGTATTGTGTTTAACGTTTTCATCCGTTTTCAAATTGTTGGTTTCCTGTGAAAAAAAAATGTAAAATAATACAATATTATTCGTTTAGACGGAGCGTAGTTCTCTCTGTCCCGACAGATTATCGTGCCGCAACTTTTATAGTATTATTATTATACGTACTCGATTATATAGTAATAATATTATATAGGATGCGTATGCACGTAATCTAGAATAGTAGATCCGGTGTCCTGCAAAAAAAAAAATGTGTTTTTGATTTCAAATTGAAAAACAATCTATGTATTAAATAATTTGTCGATTTATTTTTAAAACGCGAACAGATGTGTGAATACGTAGTGCTAGAAATATAGGAAGATAATGTAGAAACGAGTTTATGACGGACAAATTTATATCATTAAACGGTATATTATTCTCTTATTAAATTTGATAATAACACAACGAGAAGTGAAAATTGAAATCATTGGTGTACCTTTAAGAGTATAATATTGTATTTTGTTGAACTGTTAATATGTAGCTATGTAAGTACCTAGTGTCATAAACAAACATATTGTGTTACATATGTAAAATTTTGTATTTATCAAAAATATGTATACAATTAATTCGATACAGTTTGACATATAAGTATAATATATAATTTTAATAGTGGAAAGAGCGGTAATAATTGAATCACTATAATTACATGCTCCCGAGATACAGATGTTACCGAAATATTATAAACAAATATTAGGAATATTCCTAATTATAAATATTATTACTTCAATTATTTTTTTTTTATTGTTCTGTTTTCATTATTTTCTCTTATAGG